AGTTTTTAGAGGCATCTCATAAATAATTTTTAAAAAAGCAATAGAGTAGGTAGTGTTTGAACATAGTGTCATAATTCATACTAATTACATTGCTAAACATAAGGTTGCAGGCCTAATAATATATCATAATTCATACCTTATGGTCTGGTGGCAATTAAAATACCATCTTTTTTTTTGCAAGTGTACAGAACTGTTGGAATATTGCTCATGTGAAATAACATTCAGAGCTTTATTACTGAGAATGGCACCTCTGTCTGCTTTCTTACAGTGGTGCCCTCATTAGAGAGTCACACTGAGCACTTTCAATGTACACAAAGAACTCAACTTTATTCTATGACTATAACTAGTAATATGGGTATTGCCTTAAGTGCTGATGCTATTGAGCCTGCTGATCTTCCCATCATGTAAGTTTCACAGCGTTGAGCACATTCTATTACGTAGCAATGTACACACTGGCCATCTCTCTCCACAGTGGAGGGGCAGTTAGCTAAGCACAGATGGCCTTGCCATCTGATGGACAAGGGAATCAGTTGCTAGCCTCTGAAGGCCAACGAGGGGTCTCTGGAGAGGCTGAATAGTTCATGCCTCATGATCCGTACAGTGTTGTAGAAGATGAGCTTGGGAGCTGTATAGGCCTTAAGGCTGTGCCTGGCTGAATAGAGACTAGTGTGATTTGGACCATGCATGTCTTGTGGACCCATCTTCATGTAAGGTCTCATTGAAGAGGCCCTGTAAACCTGGTTTCACACAGCTGTGTAACTGAAACAAGTCACTTAACTTGAAGGCTTTAAAGGTGTGGTGGCATATACCTTTGATACCAGCACTTGGTATTCAGAGGCAGGTGGATCTCTGTGAGATTGAGCCCAGTCTGGTCTACATAGTAAGTTACAGGGTAGTTGGGGCTACAGGGAGACCTTGTCTCATAAAGTCCAAAGGTAAAAAAACATTTAAAGAGAGATTTATTTACCTATCAGTAATCAAGTTAAAATGACATATTAGAATGACAGAGGTTAATGTTTATATTCTGATGGGCTTCTTTAAAATGCTGAGTTTTCAGTATTAACACAAGAATGATCATCATGACCTTGTAGGTAGATGTCAGTACCATGAAATCAGTGCCATGACCTGAAACTTCCTGTGTGTGAAGGTTGATATATTGCTACTGAGCCCCAGTGTGATGGCAGGAGGAGGTGGGCCTTAGGGAGGTGACATGGTCATGAGAGTGGAGATAGTGACCTTATGAAAGCCACCTGGAGGGCTTGCTGCCTTTCTCTCCTCTCTGCCAGAGAGTCAACAATGAGATGATCCCCATCAGGCAGCTGACGGCAAGTCTTAGAGAGCCCCGAGCATGGCCCTCCTTGCCAGCTTTCAGAGCTCTGAGAATAGATGTTCCTGAAGCTGTCCTCTTAGGGTAATTTTCTGTACAGCCCAAATGTAATAGTTCATTTTAGTAGTAATAGGTACCACACCAGCACAGTCTGAGCAGTGCACATAGGGGCAAGGCCTAGACAGCTCATGGTCTACTCTGAGCTAATAAATTTACAGTGTGGTGAACATTCAAGCTTCCAATTCAACTTAGACCATCGAGTGCCTGCAGTTTGTGAGGCTTGGTGGACTAGGGAAGCTCTGTGTCAATGGAGAGCTAGTTCCTCCATGGCCTCTGGGCCGGGCTCAGGGAAGTGAAAAGATGGCAGAGGAATAGACAGGAATGGGGCTGGCTGGGGATAGCTGGAACTGGCTGGACCTGGCTAGACCTAGCTGGGGCTAGCTGGGCCTAGCTGGGCTTGGCTGGACCTGACTGGATCTGGCCTGACCTGCCTGTGGCTGGCTGGACTTGGCCAGGGGCAGGCTAGGAAGCTCCTTGTGTGACTGTTGGAAGACAACAGCAATATTTCAGGCACTGTGTGAACCAGAGCATTCATTCTGGCTGTTTTGAGGGTCTGACATCTGAGACCCTCCTGGAGAGGCTATAGTCCCCATGGTTGCTAATTCCTAGACATAGTGAGTGACCCATCTTTATGCATGCTTGTCAAATGCAAAGCCATAGACCCCAAGTCCTCACCCTAACCATTTCCTTCACCAGCTCATAGCTCTCTCAAGTCACTGCAGGGCCAGCTGTACCCAGAGCCCCCAACAGGGCACAGAGCAGTCAGTTCTATGGCTGCCTACTGTGTCTTATTCTCTATGGATCACTCCTTCTGGATTTTTTAAAAATACAGTAAACTTCTTTATGTTTGCAGGCATCTCTTGAAGCTCACAAACTGCAGTGAAGAGCAGCATGTGAGGGGAAGCTAGCTGAGGCCCCTCCATTGCTTCCGTGGAACTGAATCAGAAAACGTAAGAGTTCCTGGAAGACACCACCACCGCCAAACCAAGAAAACGACAGAACATAGTTACACCCTTTATTGGCACAGCAGCTTTGAAAAGCCTGATAGGAATCAAAAGTTCCAGGGAGCAGGGCACAGTGGAGCCACTGAGTGAAACTTGCTGACAGTGGGCAGAAGCACGTGGAAGAACAAGGCCGTTGCATGACAGGGTTGGGTACACTGAGAGGGAATCATGCAGTGTTCCTAGGGAGGATAGCACACTGCTGCTCCATCCCATGAGGCTCAGCCTGCTTATCTGTACTGTTGCAACCCTCTCCTATCACCAACTAGGAACCTGAAACCATACGTGTTGAACTGAGTACCATAAATGTCCTGTAATCTATGCCACGCTGGGGAGTTGGGTGAGGACAAAGCTTAACCAATGAACGCCAAAGCCACATTTATCCAGAGGAAATGCCGGGTGCAGGGAAGAGTCACCTCCTGCAGAAATGTGAAGCCTAAACCCTGGTTCTCGACCAGCATTCCTGCAGGGGTTAGCCAAAGCCAAGACAACACACAGTCCCCAGGCTTTTAGGTGCTTTGGGTTAAAAATAAGTATGTAGAATTAAAAAAAGAACCCTAGAAATGATTTTTTAAAATCTGTATTTTTGAATAAAGGGAGCACCACCGATTGCATAAAGTTATAAAATACTGTAATAAAAGGGTGAATGATCACCAGGTTTGTAATTCTAATAACACACAAACACCTACAAAGAAATGAACTGTCTGTCCTGTGCACTCACTGGAGTAAAGACACCAAGAGGGGTGGGGGACAGCGGCTGAAACCGGGCATGCTAAAAGCAGCCACTGGAGTAGTTCTCCCCACTGCTCTGCCCTCCCACCTCATATACACTCCCCCAGCCTCTCTGGCTGTCTGAGGGCAGTGTGGCCCTAAAAATCAGTGTGCTACCAAGAAATGGATAAGAAGGAACCAACACACACACACAGACACATACACACAGGAAATGGGTAGTCAGTCAAGTGTCCTGTGCTTTTTGTGGAGATGCCTGGAGGGGAGACCCCAGAGATCAGAAGGCAGCCTCCTGCAGATGCTGCAGTCAGGAGGCAGCTCAGTCATGTGCCTGCAGTCCAGGTCACATGTCAGATGGTGCTGTCCCAGAGTTCCGAAGGCAGCCTGGTGCAGGAACCTCCCTCTGGCTTCTTTAGAAGTGTGGGCTTCTTGCAAGGCGGTGGCGGAGGTGCACGGGGCTCTGTGTGCTGCAGTGTTTCCTGCCAATCTTCTCTCTCCTCACAGAGCTTCCTCCTCCAGTCCAGCAGCTCCTGCAGGGCCACACTTTCGTTCTCTGAGAGCCTCAGCTGATGGATTACCTGTGGGGGAAGAGGAGAACGTAGGTGCAGATGCGTGAATGAGCTGGAACGGTGACAGCAGCACCAGGGGATGAAGGGCAGGGCTGGCTGGGGTGGAAAGAGATAGTGTCTTCCCAAACCTCCAGCCACAAGTCCAATGGGGACAACATGGATCCAGGGTGGCAGCAAGGACTATAAGCAGACGGTGACCAAATGGAAGCCTCAGGAGGTGCCCAGATGGGGCTGCATGTACCACATCTCCCGATGGTGCAGCTTGCCCTGTCCTCGCTGGGATTACAAACACTCCTGTGTCATCCTGTACTTTCTCTTCATTTAATTCTTCTCTGAATGGATGTGCTCCTAGAAACAGATTTCTCAAACTTCACCTCACTGCTGGGGTCACTTGTCTGTCTATCCACCCACATACTCAGTAGGCACACAGGACCATCAGGCTGTCATGGCCTAGCCTATCCCAAGCACATTCCCAAGGACTTCTACTCAGAATGATCTGTTGTTGGAACCAGGCCACACTAATACCAAAACAGTTCCCAAGCAAAGGTGCTGCTGGAGGCAGCTGCTTTAGTTGCCCTCTGATGGCAGGCTGGCTACCTGTGCCGCAGGACAACTGCCACCTGCTGTGGTATCTAGCCACACTCTCCACATTATGGCAATGGAGCAAATAGGCTCCTCCTGTTCCTGGACACTCTTACATGGGGAGCCTCCAAACACAGGGGCAGTCCTAGCTTTTGCAGAAAAACATCAAAACACAATTATAGTGACTACTTCCTCTTGGTTCACAATGGTGCCTGAAAACTGACTCCTGCCAGTCCTGTCCTCAGCCTGGGATGGATGGGGTAAGTAGGTTCTCTTGCTGTGGGTGCCTCATTTCTGCCAGCAGTTAGTAATAACGCAAACCATTATAGATACCAGTTTGTGATTATTCTAACATGAGAATGCTTGTTAAAAAGAGTGAGATTCTAGAAATCAGAAAGGGAGTTGGGGACAAATGAGAAGCAAAGCTGCTTGTCCCACAACCCAAGCACTAAATGCCTTGCTCCAGTATCACTTCCATCCCAGGTCATAGCAATGTGGCTCTGACACAGAGTACAGGCCCTGGAAAGCCAGCAGGCTTGCCAGTGGCCCTGGTCCAATTCTAAACCAACACCCAAGCCTGCTGGTTACCTGTGGAAGGTGATTTCTGAGACCAGGATCAAAGATAAGGGTTTAAAAAGTAGAAGCCAGGAGGGTCAGATCCTTATTCAAAGTTCATAGCTACAACAACTCTGAAGGTCCTTATTAGCACAAGGAATTCCCTACACAGAATGGGTAAGTGGCTTAAAAACAGCAGTAGCAACAGTAAAACAATACAGTGTAAGTGTGGAAAGCTCTGGGCTTATGCACTGCTGGGCTGTTCCATCCCTACTTCAATCTTGAGGCCTCCAGGGAAGTATACTCTGAAGCAGGATGGACCCTTATTATTTTTTGTTAGTCTCCAGGATGATCTGCACATGAGAAATTCTGCAGGCAGATGCCTATGGATGAGATTGTTTCCATTGACCATGGGGTGAACTACGAAAGTGGGATTTTAGGGCATACATGGAATTTATTCAACTAAGGAATTCTATAGAGGGTTAAAATGTATGTAGGTGACTTCCTGTATAACTGACCCCTCCTGTGAGTGCTATAATGTTGGTGCTATTTGGATGAGGAAGCCAAAGCACAGAAAAGTCAGATAGATAGTCTTCCCAAAGCAAAAGGTGGAAGCTGGCAGCTTGGCTCCAGAGCCTGTGTTCATAACTGGGACTTTGCTTGGCTTATAATCACCCAACACCTACTGTCCAGGGCCTTGTATGCCCAAGTCAGGGTCTCCTTCTCCAGGCTTTATTTTTCTCCTCTTTTTTCTAAGTGGGCTCAGGTGACACTGATGTGATTCTCCATGGCTGTATTTGTTTCTCTGCCCTGCTCTACCAGCATGCCATGGGATGCCACTGTGCTCAGTGTCCTGTACTGGATGAATATGAAATATTCTCAGATGAGTTCTTTGGCTCACATTCAGCCTATAGTAGTCATCCCTGAGAACCAATGTCACCAATGTATTCTCAGGAGAGAACATTCACAGAAGAAGAGTTCTGACATCTCAGTTCATTATTTCTCCCCGAACTCTGCTGAGGAAACATCTCATTTAAGTAATATATCCGTGTATTCACTTATTTAGGATACAAATCCATGAAGTCCCGCTTCTGGCTAGGATGCATTAGGTCAGGGTACACTACTCCTCCCATTAGAGAAAAAGGTAAATTACTAAAGTCGAATAGTTAAAATGTCAGGAAGTTCTCAAAGCAGAAAAATTCCAGATGAGAGAAAACTTGCTGACTTATTTAATCAGTAATTACCACCTGACCGTCCCCCCACGCCCATGAGGATACTTTCCAATTCTGAGCTAGTTCTTCTGTAGGTCTGAAGAGTTGTTTCTGGAAGGGAGAGAAACCAGGTGACATTCAGCAGTGCAGAGGGATGGATAAGCACATTGGAAACTCGGGGCGCCTCGCAGGCACATACGCTCTCCACAGGGACATTTGTTGAGTTCCTCAACTGTATGGGTGACTGGCACCTCAGGCCAAATCTCAGAATGACATTTGCTGCAATGATAGCCCCATTTTCCAAGCAAAAGCCTGGACAACAGCTGCCATTATACAGGCCTCACCCCTAAGACCTCTGCCAGAGTCTGAAACTATGTGGGACACAAGGCTGCAGATCAGGGCTGGCAGCTCTGAGATGCAGAGCTGAGAGGATTGTAATCATCATGCCCAGGAGCCAGGACCTGAGAACTCTAAGGGAAAAGTACAGGAGGGTGACTCAAGCATTAGATGGGAACAGAGTAGGCAGACTCTAGTAAGTTCCATTTCTAAGCCGATTAAGACCTCAGCCTTGACCTGAGCTTCCCAGAAGAGGACGGAGGAGCAACGACAGGTAGGAGAAAACATCAACCAGAGTGTCTAGTCACCGTGCCAAACCATTTGACATTGAGATGCAACATTGTCATCTATAAAGGTCACATTCAAGAACTATGTGATTGAGTTTCAAAAAACCACATACACACACAGCATCTCAATGTTTTAAGTAAGTGTCTGATTTTGTGTTAGGCCACATTCATAATGTCCTTGCATACAGGTGATCCATGGGTCATGGACTGGACATGTCTGGATAGTTTATTCATACACAGTGTTTACCATGCAATCAGAAATTACTATACACATGAAGAGACAAAGCATTTTACTAGCCAGCAAAGGCTAACACAGATTCACAATAAGTTCAGACACTGGATTCATCAGAAAGAGAAGCTTTAAAATACTTATGATTGCATATTTAAGGATACAGAGGAAAAGATGGACACATAGAAGAAATATCAGAATGAAAATATACATGGATGCACTAGATGAAGAGTAAAATTTGAAGCTTCCAAAAGTAGTGTAAGCAACATACAGACATTACAAAGCTCGTAAAACCCCATAAAAGATAAATGCAACACCACCACTGCCCGTAAAAACAAACACAAGGCAGATCACCTTGAAAGAGCTGAAGAAGAGCTCCTGAGGAAGAGCACACTGTTAAAACACCAGAAAGAAAAACAAAAATTATTTTTAAAAGAACTGCAATGAAAGTGAAGGCTGACATCTTAATAGAAACACTGGAAGCCAGAAAACAAAGAAATGCAGATGAAATTATGGAAAGAAGTCAACCTAATCCTCTCTGCTCAATGAAGAAAACGGCTCTTAAAAAAAATTAAAGTGAGATAAAAGTGTCGCACAAACAAAAACAAAGGGATTTGTTCTCAGAAGCTTTATATTAGCATAAAGACAAAAGGAAAGTTTTCTTTATATAGGAAATGATTCCAGATGGGAGAAAATGAAATTTAAGAGAGAATAGGGACTTGGGATTTTCATACCCACAGGTAAATATTGGTTCAGTGCTTGGAATGTCTCCTAAGACTATAAGCCATACACACAACACAAAACTATGCCAACGATAACTGCACAAGCCAGAGAGATTAAATAAAGAGTAGGTGTTTTAGAACGTTAGCAATATTAAGAAGGTGATCAAGGCGATAAAAATATGCTCAGATGTAATGAGTCAAGCATGTGTGTCTTACCCTCTAGTGGAAACTCTAAATAATGTAAGAACATTTGGCCACATATGAAAATAAAGGAAGAGAAGATAAATGCTCAGTTTAGCTAAAATCAAACAGAGAGGATTAAAAATAGAGACCCAGCAGACTGTTCATTCCTAAATGGACATCTATATCACACCCCTCCCTCAAGCCTCAGTGGAGCTCTGCAGAAGAGGGTGGAAAGACGGAAAGCCAGAGGTGGTGGATGAGTATAAGGAAACAGTTCTCCAGATAGCAGGGCACTTGCGCATATGAACGCACAGCAATGGTATCAACACGCACAAGACCTGATCAAGCTCAAGTCAGACAACATCCCAATGTCGGGGGCAGGGGGGGCACTTGATAGCTGCTGAGCGAGGAAGAGTCCATTACATATGAACGCACAGCAATGGTATCAACACGCACAAGGCCTGATCAAGCTCAAGTCAGACAACATCCCAACGTCGGGGGCAGGGGGGGCACTTGATAGCTGCTGAGCGAGGAAGAGTCCATTTTTTTTTTTAGGGGTGTGAGCCCTGGTAGGCTGCACATGCTTGAGGGGAAGTTCCATACTTGAGTATTTGGGCAATTCAAATAAACTAGAAGTGGAAAGAGGAAAGAACATGAAGGTGGGTGGGGAGGAAGGCAGGGGTGGATCTTGGAGGAGTTGGGGGAGGGGGAATATGAACAAAATGCATTGTATGAAATTCTCAAAGAACTGATGAGAAGAGTTTTAAAACTGAGACGAATTCCTATAAAAAGAGTCAAGTATAAAAACCAAACCAACAGAATCCAAGTCTCTACTTCGCAGCTAGTGTTGGGTTCCTGTGCCGTCTCTATCTTTGTGCCAGGCACGAAGTACACGCCTCTGTAT